TTCCTCCCGGGAGCGGGATTCCGACCCCGCACCTTGCGCCGGGCCGGGCCGAGCCGGGCACAAAGCGGGCGCCTCTTGCCCGCATCGGGGTAGACTGCGCTCGAGCAGAGAGGCTCGATCTGGCTGGCCGGAGCTTGGGGGGCCTCCAAGAGGCACGGGCGCCCCCGTCAGGGCCCCTTGGTGTCTCCGAGGCAGGTAGAACCCCCCCATCCCCTATCCCGCCTTCCACGAAGCCTGTCAGGCTTTCGAATCCTGCCAGGGTCCCTTGGAATCCTTGCCTGCAGTCCCGGTGGTTGCCTTCTTAGAGCTCCCGGGATAGCTGGCAGGGGGTGGGGGAAAGACACCCCCCCTCTTTGTGGCCCCAAATTCTGGACCCAAACTTCACAGCTGCCCAGATTCCTTTCTTCAGTGGCCTAAGAGGTGAGTGTCCGCTCCCTTTATGGCCAAATTGGGGGGGTGGGTTTCCTGTTGGCCTGTAATTCTGGAGTCAAGAACCTCCATCCCTCAGGCATTTTTGGCCAGGACCCCCATCATCCCCAGGCTGTGTGGCAAATGGAAGTGGTAGTCAAAAGTATCTAGTTTCCGCAGCCCGGGCTAATGAGGCCACCCACCAGCCCTGGTTTGCTTGCTGGGGATAGAGAAGTAGACCTCAGCCCCGCCAGGATGATGGGGGCCCTGGTCGAAAATGTCTGAGGGGCGGAGGTTCTTGACTCCAGAATTACAGGCCAACAGAACACACACACACCCGCAATTGCCCATAAAGGGAAACGTTGACTAGGGAATAATTCTAAATAAACCTTTTTAGATAAACCAGCCTGAAAGTATCAATTTATGTTTCTGCCCCTGGAGGATCAACGTAATTACAATAATTGTTTGAAGTGGAGCCAGACGCAAACACAGCCCGGGTGACACAACTGTTGCTAGTTTTCGTTTTCTTTTTAAGAAAGAAGTGGAAACAGGGTCGCAACAATGTCGATGTCGTGGGTGGGTTTGATTTCCGTGGTTAATTAGCCTTCGGTATCGAACTGCTGGCTGGATCCCCTCCCCCCCCCAATGTTTCATGGCAGCTTCAGAAATCCTCAGCTGTTATTTCATGTCGCCGTTCTCCAAAGCATGAAGATGGATCTGCGTGGGCTGTGATAGGGTCCCGATTGGGGTAGACCGCCCCTGGGCAAGGAGGCTCGGCCTGGCTAGCCGTTTCTTTCTTCCTCTGGGAAACGACTCAGAGGACCGGCAATGATTTTCGACAGGGCACGGGGCCTTCCCTAAACTTTGGAGTCGATCCAGAGAGAGCCTCCATGTTCACCCGCAGTCTACCTCTACCTGCAGAGGGGAGTCCCTGGAGCAATTGCCATTCTTATGTCTCTCGTCTCTCTCTCTCTCTCTCTCTCAGGAGGTAGAGACGCTGGTGGCCCACTGGAACCTCTGCCTCAACCTGGCCGGCTTCTTTGTGGGCCTCTTCTCGGTCACCTTGTTCGGGCCCTGGAGCGACCGGGTCGGCCGCCGCCCCGTCCTGGTCCTGCCAGCCTTGGGCATGACGCTGCAGGCCGGCATCTACCTGGGGGTCATGTACGCCCAGCTGCCCGTGGGCTACCTCCTGGCGGGCCGGCTCCTGAGCGGCCTCTCGGGCGACTACAACCTCATCCTGGCCGGCTGCTTCGCCTACGTGGCTGACGTGAGCGACCGGCGTGGGCGCACTTTCCGGGTGGCCATCTTGGAGGCCTGTCTCGGCTTGGCGGGCATGGCCGCCAGCGTCGTGGGCGGGCAGTGGCGGAAGGCCCAAGGGGGCATCGCGCCCTTCTGGCTGGCCTTCGCGGCGAGCTTGGCCGCTGCCCTCTACGCCCTCTTCGTCCTCCGGGAATCTGTGGCCCGGCCACGTCCGGCCAGGCTCTTCACCCTCGGCCATTACGTGGCCGTGTGCCGCCTGTACGCCTCTCGCACGAGGGGCTGGGCGTGGAAGAAGCTCATCCTCTACTCTGTGGCCTTCTTCCTGGTGGTCACGGTGCATTTCGGGACCCGGGACATCTTGGTGCTGTACGAACTCAGCGCCCCGCTCTGCTGGGGCTCGGATCTGATCGGCTACGGCTCGCCTGCCCTTTACTTGACCTACCTGAGCAGCTTGGCGGGGCTGCGGCTGCTGCAGAGGTGGCTGGAGGACGGCTGGGTGGCCGAAGCGGGACTGCTCTCCAACCTCCTGGGGCTGGTGACCATCGCCGTGGCTGCCACGACGCCCGTGATGTTTACAGGTGAGCCACGCTGAGACACCCCCCACCCCCCAAAATGGGGACAGACGCCCCCCCCTTGAAGGATGCTAGAAGGACTGGTTTTTCTCAGGGTTTCCTCCCCCGGGAATACCTCTAAGCCAGCCTTCTCCAACTTGGGCGTCTTCTTGGTGTGATGGACTACAACTCCCACAATGCTGCAGTGCCAGAGAGGGGGCAGATGGGAGTTTTAGTCCAAACCCTCAGAGGCGGTGGAGGTTGCGCCTAGTCGTAATTCTCTTTTATGACTTGATCCGGTCGACCGACCTCACCCTTCAAAACAGCACCGAAGCCTTTAGAAACACCACTGTGAATTTTGTGGGTGCGAGATGAATCGCAGAGCGAGATCTTTTGGGTGTGAGGAGGGAAAAAAATTAAGTCGGGTAATGTTGTAGCTCCTGCTGCTCTCCCTAAATACCTGGAGGCGGTTTTGGTGGCTGGGTCTCTGGTGTCACACAGGAGGGTGCGATAAGCAGAATATTCTGGTGATAGGCCCCTCCACCCCCCTGAACCTCACCCAACGCCTTCTTTTTCCCATTCCTCCTGGGGTCCCATTTTAGGTTACGGGCTCCTCTTTCTCTCCATGATGGCCACCCCTGTGATCCGATCCAAGTTGTCCAGACTGGTGGACGAGACCGAACAAGGTAACCGGGGCATCCTGACCCATAATGAGACCCTTCCAACAGGGTCGTCCTCCACCTCTGGAAAAGCAGGCTGGAGGCAGGGGGGTGGGAGGGGTGGCCAGACCCGGCACTCACAGAGTCTCGGCTTTCGATTCCTAGAAAGCCAAGTTCCTAGTCCTTATGGGTTCTGCAAGGGAAGATCCCTGCTGGTGCTTCAGGTGTGCCAGAACAGGATGTAACCAGTGGCTTGGGGGGAGGGGTCCTTCATGGGGTTTTTTTTGCCCAACAGTATCGTTTGTAGGGGCCTTAAAAAAAGTGCTGAAACGTGGGGGGGAGGGGTCCTTCATGGGGTTTTTTTGCCCAACAGTATCATTTGTAGGGGCCTTAAAAAAACGTGCTGAAACGTGGGGGCTTCCTGATTGCCTTAGTCCACTCTCTCTCTCTGTCCCCCCCCTCCCCGCGCGTGCAGGCGCTCTCTTCGCTGCAGTGGCCTGCCTGGAAGGGCTCTGCTCGCTGGGGGCCACGGGGCTCTTCAGCGCCCTCTACCCCGCCTGCCTGCAGTTCATGAAAGGTTTCCCCTTCCTCTTCGGCGCCGGCCTCCTCCTCCTCCAAGCCGCCATCGTGGGGTGAGTCTCGGATGCTTTTGCGGGAGGGAGGGGGAAATCGGGGCTTTTCCTGCAGAGATTTTGCCGTTGTCCGAGCGGGGCGTTTGCAGCCCCACGGGGGGGGGGGGATTCCTGGACTGCAAAGCCCATCTGCCGTCAAGGCCTGGTGGGAGATGCCACCTCTGGTGTCGGTCCAGCCGCTCTGGGCAAGGAAGGCCATCATTCCTGAACCCCGCGGGGTGGGGCAGATGGGCCAGGTAGTCCGGCACAGCTTGGTTTAAGAGAGCAGGGAGGGGCTCGCCTCCGTTGCCTCCGCACCTCAAGGGGAGGAGGGACGTACTTCTTCTTGTTGCCTTTAATTCTTCCCCGTCCAACCCCAGGTGAGCTCAAGGCTGGTGGCCTTTGGGGCTAGAGCTGCGGATTCGAACGCAGACCCCAGAGCTCTGGCCACCCTGCTGTACTGCGGCAGGTTCTTGGAGAGTCTAACCCTGCCTCTTACTCCTTCCCCACCCCCAGCTGGATAGAGACCCAAGATTCAAAGCCGGAGTACTGCCAATTTGGCGATGTTTCGGGCGCCCCGCAACCGGCTGCACAAGAGTCGGCTGAGCCGGAGGAGATGTAATCCCAAATCGGGGAAGGATCAAGGACCTGAGGAGCCGGCAGAGCCCTTCGCCTGGGAAGTTTGTTCTGCCTGGTTTGGTGGAGCCTGAGTTGCCCGGTGGCGGCCGCAAACTCACCTAGCCAGCCAGAAGCAGAGAAGAAGCCAAGAGACATCTGGAGGTGTCATGAGGACTAGAAACCTCCTTTGCAGTTTAACCTGAGTTAAAAGTGCAGGCCAGAGTTCAGGAGAGATAGTTCTAGAATGGATGGGGGGAGGAGGAGGAGGAGGAGGAGGAAGAAGAAGAAGAGGGGCCGATGTCCCCTCTGGGATAATCTCTCTTTCCAAGCCCAGCCAGATGCCCTTGGCTTCTGCCGTTTTTCACCTCCGTCTCTAGGAGGAAGACAGCTAGTTTTTCCCCAGGCGTGAGGGGTTCAAACTCCATTTCCTCATTGCTTCAAGAGGTCTTCCTCCTACGGGGTGTGCGCGTGTGTGTGCCCATGAGGGGCACACTGTCATTGGGCAGGAGATAATAAAACCGGTGTGTCTCTCTCTCTCTCTCTGTGGGCAGATAACAATCTCCTTATTGAGGGTGTTGAAATGTGTTCCATGTCCCGAAGGGTACATCTCGAAGGGAGAGGATCTGACCCCACATCTCAGCCCCACCGGCTCATAAAGCTCGGCCTTGGTGATGCTTCTTGGCCGGGGTGCTTTCCCTCCCTCCAGCTATCTCTTGTCTTGTCTGGTGCCAATTCAAGGAACAAAGCGTTCCAAGAGAGACGGGCAGGATCGGAAGGGGCGTAGGGGGGTGTGCTCGGTTTTCCAGGCACGTGACTCTGGCTGGTCACACCCCTGTCTTCTCCTCCTTAACAGACTTTATCTCTGTAGGGATGGAGAGCAGAAAAAAGATGGAAGGCAGGTTTATTTTTTTTTAAAAGAACCAACCCACAGCGTACAAACAGGAGACTGAGATGTTCAGTCCGCTGCTTCTGCCGATGGTCTAATTCTGTACACTTACCCAGATGCGTCTGGGTCTCAGGAAGAAGGTGCGGGGTGAGGCAGAATGTGGAAACTTGAGACGTGACTCAGGTAATCGTCTGAGGCCAGACTCCCTCTTTTGCAAATGTAGACATTAAGAACTAGAAAAATGGAAATATTCAGGATTCTGGAGTTGGCAGGGGAATGCACCGATGTCGCATCTCGGTGCTGGACTCCTTGGGACCCTCCAGGAGCGGGCCCTCCAACGGATCTAGCCTCAGCCTGGGCTTGGAGAAGTTACTTCTACTCTTACTACCTGCCCTGGGTTATTCTCTGAGCACAGCAGGGCCTAGGGGACCGCTCAGCATCCAGGGTCCAAGCGTGGCCTCTTCCAATCCAATCCTGTTTATGAGCCGGCAGGATTGATCCCAGGAACAGGGGGTGCCTTGTGAGCAAGGATCAGACACCACGCCCTTTGGAAAAAGAAGCTGTAATCAGTAAGTCTAAAGCGTGAATGTTTAAGGCTTGTCGCCCAATTAAAGAAGAAAAAATTAATCACTCTATTGTATGAGTTTTTAAGGGGTTATTTTTTCTCCTTTTTTATTAGAAGGAAAAAGCTTTTAACAGGGGTTTTTAAGGGGTTATTTTTTCTCCTTTTTTGTCAGAAGGAAAAAGCTTTTAACGGGGGGGTTGCTTTGTGTGTGTGTTGTGTGTGTGTGTGTGTGTGTGTGAGAGAGAGAGAGAGAGAGAGAGAGCTGGAGTCCCACTTCTTGGCGGAAAAAAAAGTTCAAAACGATAAGATTTTTCTCCTGCTCTGTTCAGCTGGCCAGGAGCCGCCCCCTGTCGACCTCCATCTGGGTGGGTGGGCGGAGGTCTTCTTCAGCTGGGGAGGGGGGACGCCACTTCCAGAGCATCCTGCTCCTCCTCAGTCCCCTTGGTGCACACACCCTCCTCCGGCCGGCTGGCCGCAAGGACAGCCGGCCATGGATCAAAGGTAGGTTTCTACATCCCGGTCTTGGACGTTGTACCTGCCGGGCTGTTCCACTTCCTTGAAAGAATTCTGGCCTCCCGCCCGGAGCCGCTGCGTTTACCTGGCCTTGCTGCGTCAGCAAAAGGATGAAGCCCTTTGGGGAAACAACAGCGCTCAGAAGCGCATGCCAAGGGGACTCGTTTTTCCAGACTGCCCAAGGGGGGAAAAAACCCTGAGAGACAGGGTGCGAAAAAGTTTGAAACACAGTTCCAAAAACATGGTACCTGGAAGGCCACTGATTTCTCCTGCCAGGAAAAATGGGTCCCCTGGTCTGGAGCTGTTGCACTATGGCCAGGTCGACTGGGACCAGCCCTTGACGGATGATGGCCCCCCAGGCAGGTGGATGATGGTCCCTTTGCACCAAAGACAAGGACCCTCTCGACCGACCGACTGACTGTGTCTCAGCCCCACTTGCAAAGTGCTTCAACGCCTCCCCCCCCCTTGGGCTCCCTTTGCAAAGGACCAGTGGCAGGAAAACGGCAGAGGCCACCACGAGAGTCCGGCGAGAATCCTTTTAATATCAGCGGAGCCCTACAGAGCGACCCCTGCTGGGGTTTATTCGGCGACCGATCCCTCGGCTCAGGCACTGAAAGGGTTTTGCATCTCTGGAAAGGCCACAAGCTGCAAAGGGGGAGTGGTGGTGGTGGGGGACACGAGGGGAGCCCCAAAAAGGGGGAGAGAAAGAGAGAGAGGAGGGAGGGCAGCTGAAGGACTGCTTTATCCTCTACGTTCGGGAAAGGAACTTCCCCCCCCCCCTTTGGTGGGTGGCTACCGACAGCATGCGCCAGTCTGGCCCAGGGGTGTTTTGGGAGCTGCAGTCTGAAAAAGTAACTCCCCTCCTCTTGATTTGGTCCCCCCCCCTCCCGCCCCCAATCTGGGATGTCTTAGAAATGGCCCGCCCAGAGCGATCCTGGAGCCGGCCAGGTCCTCCTTGGCCCCTTTCTGCGGAGGGAGGAGGGGGACCACGGGAGGGAGGGAGGGGGGGCGGCCGCCTCCGCCCTTAGTTCGGCCCCATCATTGGGCCGCCCTCCAGGCTGTTCTCTGAACCGGCAGACGAATCCCGGGAGGAACGGCCTTGCAGGAAACGGATGAGCTTCTCCAGGGTGGCCTCTTGGTACTCGTGGGACCATCTGTGGGGCAGAAGATATGGTGGTGGGGGACAGAGAGGGCGAGAGAAAGGCAGCTGAGGCGAGGCTGGGAGGGAAAGGGACCCGCCTTCGAGGTGAAAACAAAACCTCCCACGAGGGCTGCCTCCCGGGAGACACGGGGCCAACCCTTCCCTCCCCTTGCACACTTGCACACACACGCGCCCCCCCGTCAGCAGACTCACTTTATCCCGTTGAATTTAAGGACGGCTCTCATGTCCTCTGGAACCTGCTCCGGATCAGGCCACTCAAAGTGGTCCGTGACGGGGATGATGTTTTTCCCGCAGCTCAAGGCGGTAGGGCTGCCTCCCGGGAGACACGGGGCCAACCCTTCCCTCCCCTTGCACACTTGCACACACACGCGCCCCCCCGTCAGCAGACTCACTTTATCCCGTTGAATTTAAGGACGGCTCTCATGTCCTCTGGAACCTGCTCCGGATCAGGCCACTCAAAGTGGTCCGTGACGGGGATGATGTTTTTCCCGCAGCTCAAGGCGGTGACAATTTCCTGCCAGGAAAAAAACATGGGCACATCCATGTTTAAAGGTTTGGGGCTTCCCTCCTCCTTTCCGGGTTTTTATCTGACTGTTCACCCGCAGGTTCTCGGTGATGTTCAGCATTACACAGAGCACCCTTTGCACAAATCTAACGGGGTTAGATCTTGTGTGCTATTATTTGATGTGGTTTTTTATGTGTTTTAAAGATTTTTAACAGCTCTAAGTACAATAGGACCCCCTTATTCGCAGGATCATTATTGGCTGATTCACTTATCCATGGTCTGAAAATATTAAAAATATTAAAAGGAAAAAAATCCTAGAAACATGTTTCTAAAGCTGAACTTACCAGCACTGGCCATTAGAGGGAGCAAGAGACCATGCTATGTATAGTATTCAATATTAAACTAGTATTTACAGTTATCTGCATTTTTCAGCATCTGGGGCGGGGCTTGGAACCAATTCCCCTGCAGATACTAAAGTCGTACTGTAATTGTTTTAATACTGCATCTGTTTAATTGTTAATGCCATAATTTACGTCTCTTTTAGTTGGTTTGTTGTTGCAGAAAAATGGCCTAGAACTGTAAATGAATGAGTTAATGAATAAAATATTGGGAAAAGGGTGTCAGGGTTGACTTGGGTCTCTAGGGACGGCCTCCCGGGGCCTGATCCATCTTCCCTTCCGGCCACCTGCTCGCACACTCCCCCTCACCTTGTGGACCCAGTCTCTTTTCTCGGTGTCTCCCATGCACCGATCCAGAGCGTTGCGGGAGAGGACCAGCACAAAGTTTTGGGCATTCACGACGCTCTGGGTCAGCTTGTCTTCAAACTTCCCGGCTTCCAGTTTCTCCACATCCAGGAAGACGCTGAAGCCGTGCAGCTGGAGGTGGACTTTGAGGAGGCTGCGGGAGGAGGGGAAAGGGTGGAGGGACCACTGAGAAGCCCTTCCCGGAAGGAGCTGCCCCCTCCCCCCAGGCCCTCTCATTTCTCCCTCCCTGGTTCTCATCCTTCGGGACAAGGAAGCCCAGAATCAGGAAGAATTTCTGGGTGGAAAGGGAAGAAGAGAGGGCCTCGGAAGGTGGCGTGGACTCGCCTCCTCTCTGGGTTTAAAAAAGAGTTCGGACAGAAACCCGCCAGGGATGGCCGGGTGGTGCACTCTCCCCAGCTACGTCGGCTCTGGGAGCTGCTGCCATCCGCTAACAAATAACGTGGCCAGCCTGGGCGACAACCTTGTGAGGCCGGTGAAAGAGGTCAAAGAAGAGGGACCGGGGGATCTTGCGCCCCACCTGGCCAGCTGGGATCCGGTGCTTCTCCGGTAGCTGATGAAAACATCGGTCCCCTCGGTGATGGATTTCCCGCTGCTACAGGGCAGGGGCGAGTGGAGCATCTCTGGGAAGGAGAGGAAAGAGGGGGGGTCAGGGGCTCCCACCACCCATTAACAGTGGAGCCTTCCCCCACCCCCACCCCCACCCCGGATCAGGCCTTCCCCAATCACTAAATGCTGGGGTTTGGGGCCGGCTTTACAGCTGGGGAGTGGGACATGCAGGTGCAGAAGTCTCTGTGCAGGAAGGTCAGAAGACCAGCCGTCGTAAGATCGAATCCACGCATCGGAGGGAGCTCCTGTCGCTTGTCCCAGCTCCCACCAACCTAGCCGTTCAAAAGCATGCAAATGCGAGTTGATAAATAGGGGCCACCTCGGTGGGAAGGTAACGGCGTTCCGTTTCTAGTCGTGCTGGCCATGTGACCACAGAAGATTGTCTTCGGACAAAACGCTGGCTCTATGGCTTGGAAATGGGGATGAGCACTGCCCCCTAGAGTTGAATACGACTGGACTCAAAAATGTCAAGGGGAACCTTTACCTTTACCTTGCAGCCGGGCAGAGCCAGGCACCTTCCTCTGGCCGCAGATTTGGGGAGTCACTGTTTCCCCTACTCTGTTTCGACCCAGGTCCATGTGGGGATCTTTCGCTACAAGGATGGGGCTGAGGTTTCGGCCACTTGACCTGCGTGTGTGCAGTGGCTCCCATTTGCTCTTCTTCCTTGAATCTCTTGGTTCCCTTCGCTGGATTTCCCTGCTTTGGGCCTGCTTCCAATCCCTGCATCTTTCGCAATGCTTCTTTCATCTGGGGGTCCCCTCCAGTGAACGGCACCTGGCACTTTCCTTGGGGGTGGGTTTGGAACAACTGAATACAGTACACAGATCACTTAGCTGCTTTAATCTGTATGCTATTTGTATATAGACTGATTGATTGCATTGGATTTAATTATAAGCAAGCTACAGTGACTACATGATCATGATGTGAAATTTGGGGTGGGGGTGGGGGGTGGGTCTTCCTTCTCCATTTACCTCGGGCAGCGTTCAGGATCCGGACCCGGTGGAAACCCAGGCTGACCTGGCAGTCCTGCTCCAGCTGCTGCTCGGTGACCCGGTGGAGGAAATTCCGGTCGATGCTGCAGGTGACGAGGTTGTAGGTGTACTGGCGGAACTTGGGCTCGACGCTGCTGAGCCAGTCGGCCAGGTTGCTGCGGTCGCAGGTGGAGTAGTTGGCGTACGTCTTGAGTTCGGTCAGCTCCCGGAAAAACCTGGACCAGGGAGAGAAAGGGAAAAACATCCCGAGATTGGGGGGGGGGGGTTAGAAAAGGGGAGCCTGGAAAATTAGTTTTCCAAAAACACCCCTCTCTGTTACTCACGGCTAAGTTTAAAACAAAATTCATTGCAGTTACTTGCCACACTGTCTGGAAAGTAACTCATTCCTTTTTTGGTTCTCCAAAGAAACTGAGGAGTAATAGGGGAACAGCCTGGATATAATTGTTTGTTCCAGCTAGAGTGGACCCGTCATATGCTACGATCTTTGCTAAGCTGATGGGGATCCATGTTCTCGTGCCTCACCGGGTCCTTGAAAGTAATCGCTCAGTTTGGCCCAGGAAAATCTCTGCGGTTCATCCGGGTGGCTTTTCCTGCGTTTAACCCCTTGATTTTGCACAACATGGGATGGGGCAAAAAATAATACCGTACCGCTTGCGAGTGATGCGAGAGGTCATGCCAAGATCCACCTCTAATTCCTCTTCTGTCAACCTGAGCAGCAGATCCCCATCCACTTGATGCTCCTGCACAAGGCAGGAAAAGAGAGAGAGAGAAAAAAAACACCATGAAAGGGAGAGAGGGAGAGGGAGAGAGAGATTACTTCCCCCACAAAAGCTGCGAAGAAGGAAAAGCCTGGGGTAAAACGGGAGGTGACCCTGTTTAGGGACAAGATCTCCACCAGGAGCCGGTCTTTTGCAAAGGCAACGGCTCTTGATAGACCCACGGAGAAGGCGCTACTGTATTTCCAAAAGGCTGTGTGTTTGCGCGGGAGGAGCTGACCAGAATATCTCATTTGGGGATGGAGCACCATTCCTGTAAAGCGACCAGTAGAAATTGCAGGGAAGTCCAAGACAAGGATCGCAATTGGGGGGTGGAGGAATTAGGGAGCCCTGGTCTCTGATGATCCAGGAGGGCACCATTTGGGCCCGGTGAGGTCTCTGCGCCTCTTCTACCATGCCAGGGAAGGACTCTCAAGGTTGTCTGAAGCTCCCATCCTAAGCGTAGCTTTTGGACAACAGGACCCAGTATCCCGCTGTCAGTGGAGCACAGGAGTGATGGGATTTGTGATGACAAGAAGAGATTGGTGTGTGTGTGTGTGTGGGGGGTGTTCTTGTGTGGGAAGGGCCCGCAAAAGCCCATGGGATGCTAAAGCCTCCTGTGGGTCCTCCTCCCACCCACCCTGGGGGTGCAGGAGTGCCTACCAGGAACTTGGGGCAGTGCTGGGCGAAGCCGATCTGCTGGAGCCACTTCTGGACCTCCGGCGGTTTCCAGTTGGGCACCGAGGGCAGCAGACGCCGGGGGACTTCCTCGCCCATGGTGGATAGGGCCCGCTTGGCCAGCGTGGAGGTGGTTCCATTAGACGAGTAGCAGACGATCCGCTTGAGGCTCTGGACGGCCCCGATTTCGGTGAAAATCTGCAAGACACACGGGCAGGCAGGGTGTGTGTGTGTGTGTGTGACCAGAAACCCATGAGCCACACAAAAAAGTTTACGTGTTTTACTCAACTTTTTAGGGTTTCTTTTAGACCCGAAAGCAGCCTTTGCTCTCCATGGGGTTTGGGGCCAGATCGTACCCACCCATCCTGGGCAAAGATTCTACCCAGGTATCAAGTTTCCTACACCATTGTTTTAAAAACTGGGCAGGTTCCTAGTCCTCATGAGTTTAAGGGGGGAACGTATGGTTTCAAGAGGAAGATGGGAAGCTGCCTGGCCCCGAGCCGCCCAGCTCAGCTCAGCCTTTCCTGCCCATTGCTCCCCGATCTTTCCCAACGGGGCTGCTGGGGTGTGTGTGTCAAACCCGTGTGTGCCCCCCCTCCGCGAACGGCACCCGCCCCCCCCTCCCCGGCCTCACCTTGGTGTTCTTCTGCCTGGCCTTGATGGCGGCCTCCACGCACAGGTAGAAGGCGGCGATGCACTGGGCCTCCAGCCGGGAGCTGTCCAGCAAGGGGACCAGGCACTGGAGGTCGTCGGCCGTCCGGCCCTGGCTGTTGTCGGCGCTGCCCAGCAGGAGGTGGGCGAAGCGCCCGGGGTCGAGGGTGGCCACGAAGGGCTCCACCAGGGCCAGAGTCCCCGAGCGCTCCACTTCCTTCTCGACCTCCTTGTTCGTGGCCAGCACCGCCACGGCCAGGCAGGCCTGGAACCGCAGGAGGGCGTCGTCCTTGGCGAAGGCCAGCGGGAAGAGCCACTCCGAGGCCCGCTTCTCCACCATCAGCCGCTGGTTGGCCTGCCCGCCGTACATGGCGCAGTTGGCCAGGGCCGTGGCGCAGTGGCGCAGGACCACGGGATCGCTCCAGCGGCACCAGTAGAGGATGGCGTCCAGGCCACCGTCAGAGATCAGCTGGAGGCACGTCTCCTCCGAGTGCTTGAACATGTGCTCCAGGATGCCTGCCGTGCTCCGGGCCAGGGGCAGGTTCTCCCGCTCTTGGGCCAGGTTCAGGATCACGCCCAGCCCGATCTGAGCCACCCGGTTCCTATAACGGAAAAGCAACAAAGCCCGGGACGGGCGGGGGAGGGGGGGAAATAAGTTACCCCTGTGGACTACAACCACCAGCATGCAGCCCACACCCCCTTCCGTACACTCTGTCTAATCTGATTTCAGAAACTGCTCAGTGGCAAAATTGTTCTCCTCTTGGGTACGAGAGAGAGAGAGAGAGAGAGACCCTTCAGCTCCGTTTTCGCCCGCCTCCTGCATTTAAAAGTGTGAGTCTAGTCCTCATGATTCCGTTCGATGGGGGCTTACAGAGCTGCCTTCTGGAAAAAGTCCCTTGATCCCCTAATGCCGTTGTGCGGTGGCGAGGGGCTTGCTGTCTGCGCATGCTCAGGGGCCTTTCGTTCCATTCCAACCGAGAGGCAGATTAATGTGGCTGCTCTGGACTCAGGTGGCCTGGGGTGTTTTCTAAGCAAGCGCTAGAACATACAGGGCAGGGGTGGAAGGGAGGGGGGGAAAGATATAGAGAAACGGGGGTGCAAGGGTGCTTTTGATGGGACAGAGAAGGGAAGAGGCGACCAGCACAAGACAAGGCACGTCAGAGGCTGGAAACGGCCTGGCATGACGCTAGAAAAAACGGTCTCATTTTTGCCAGGAAGCGTCAAGTGAGGCCGCACTGCACTGGACGCCTCCTCTTCTTGACCTTGAGCCCAGCCTGGCAGCCGTCAGAGAAGCGGCCTGGGGGAGCCAGAGGGTGCCGGCCCATCTCTCCCCCCAGGCGAGCTTGGAGACGTTCCTTTTAAGGCGACTCCCGGGGCTGCCAGGGTGGGGAGGCGGAGGCCTCTGGGGGCAGCTCTTCGAACCGGCGCCCAGGGAGGGAGAGAGGAAGGGGGTATCCCCTAGGAGAGAACGCCGGGAGGAGGCCTCTGTCCTGAGCGGGCCCTGGATGTCCGGACAGGGCGTGCCAGAGAGAGGCAGGCACCCCCGGGGCCCTCTCCTCCGGCCGGGATGTTCAGCCGATGGGTTCGGCCTCATTCCCCGGCAGGTAATGACAGCCTAATGCATTTTCCCAATTAGCCTCTGCCACGACAGGCCTTTAAAAGCCCACCTGGCGCCGGGGCGAGGCTGTTCCGGCCGGAGGAGAAGCCGGCTCGCCCGTCTCTAAATGGAACGTCCTGCCCATTCCCGGCCCGGCCGCTTTGCCTAACGGGGCCCGGCTGTCCTTTCGCGGCCTCGGCTTTTCCCGCCCCAAAAGGCCTCTCGACCGCCATCCCTTCGACCCCGCAGCTCACTCATCCTACCTCTTAGGTGGAGAATGGAGCCTTTGCTGGAGGGGAGCTGGGGGGGGGGAGAGAGCCCAGTGTTTTATTCTGTGGGGACCTCCCCCAGTTGCACTGCAGAATATTTTGGGTGACCTTGGTTTGGACGGGGCCATTAAAAGCCATTAGGTTTGCAAGAGGCCCCACTCCTCCGGGCTATGAATCTAACTGGGACCCTCTTTGGTGATGATACAGTTCAACATTTGCTGCCTCCTTCAGGACTGCCTGTCTTGCCAGGGGGTTCAAAAGCTTGCCTTTAGCAGGCCAAGGATGCTGGGAGTTGTAATATATGCCGACGGAGAGGACTTTTTTTGAGAGGCCATTTCTGAAAAGAAGTATTTCTCGGCTCTATAAGGGATGGGTTATTGATTCCTGCTTGCCATGATGTCTGACCCCAGGAGTGAGTGGGAGAAGAACATGCCCCCCCCAAGGGAGGTGATGACGTCACACATCTGGTGCCATAGGATGGCACCCTTGAGACAGCGATTGACAAGGAACGGTCCCCTACCCCTCGCCCCGCATGGCATGCACAGATATCGCCGACCGACAGCACTCTTCAGACGAGCCAGGATCCCTGGCCTTCCCTCACCGCCAAAAGAGAGGCACCCAGCCTACGAAAAGTTTGGGCTCTCCACCAAATTTCGGACCGATCCTTACCCCTGCCATGCAGCAGGACTGATTTTGACTTCTCAATTCCACACCATGCTTCCCAGAGCAGAGACGGAGTGCTGTGAGACCCCAGAAGCCTGCATGCATGTCCCTCCCTAGGCTCCACTGTCCTTCCTGCAAGCCCAGGGGCTCGGCAATGGCTACCTGGATGCAGAGGAAGGACTGACACCCACACCCACACCCACACCCACACACCCTTCACATCCTGTAAGGATTTCGTGCTGGGCCTTTATTGCCAAGAGGTCGGGGGGGGAAGTGGTTACAGTTCTCTGTTCCCTATTATTCTCACAACAACCCTGCATGGTAGGCTTAGGGGTGAAAGAAAGAGGCCAGCAGGGCAAGGTCATCTGGGGAGGGGGACCCGAACCTCTCCCTCAAAAAGAGGGAGACTCTGAGCACCCCCGCTGCCTCTTTGCCACCCCAGCAGCCAGGGAGCAGGGCAAGGAAGAGGTGGGCAAGATACCCAGGTGTCTCTGGACAGCAGACCCCATCATCCTTGGGCATGAGCCAGGTCAGCTACGGCTGATGGGGCCTGTACTCCAGCCTGATCGCTTCCCTGGGGT